ATATATATATGTTATGCTTCTGTGGTCTTGGTGTCTGTGTGCCCGTGTGTCTGTGTGTCCGTGTGCCTTTGTGTCTGTGTGTGTCTGTGTTTTTGTATTTTTGCGTTTTGTGTTTTTATGTGCGAATTTGTGTGTGAGAGTTTGTGTGTGAATGTATGGGCATATGAGCATATGGGCGTATGGGCGGATATATGGTCTTCATCCACACGGCACACCAAAGTCAAATCGGTTTTGACAACCTCACAAGTGGCTACAATTGCCTGTTCGTCTGTTTTAATACAGGCAGTCGCATTTACTAACTTCACACCTGATGTTTCAATGGTTGCTGTGATTGCCCTCTAACCTTTCTCGAATATTCTGCCTGCACATGTTGTCACTTTCCAGTATTATCGAAGAGCTCAGGGGCATTCTTCCGATCGATGCCATGGCACCGGCGGAAAAGACCTCCATTCCCCGTGATGAAGAGGTGAGATTCAATCAATACTGTCAGTGGTTTTCAGGCACGAACTTTACGTGTACTCTCAAACCAGGTTCATAGAATTTACCCTCAGTGTGGTACTGCAATATCAATATCTAGTATAACACGCTAAACAATATAGGCATTTGTCTCGTGCACTGCAATGGTATATACCTCAACTGAGTCGCATCCGGCTCGTGATTCCCAAGTGGTATCCACACTGGTGTACTTTTGATTTCACAATGTTTGACACAAATCTATGAGAAAACCCCAACGAGACACTTACACAATCATCACTTGCAGGTATATGGATTACTTACAGGTATATGGATTACTTACAGGTATATGGATTACCTACAGGTATATAGATTACTTACAAGTTTATGGATTACTTACAGGTTTATGGATTACTTACAGGTATATGGATTACTTACAGGTATATGGATTACTTACAGGTATATGGATTACTTACAGGTATATGGATTACTTACAGGTAGATGGATTACTTACAGGTATATGGACATGCAAGGCTATTCGTCTGAATCCTTGTTTGTGTGCTAGCCTTCTATCGTACAAACCACCCAATATTTTAGCGTGTGTATCCCATTCTATCATCTGCACACACGAACCTTCAACTATATGTTTCTGTGTCGACCGGTGTCTTTTCAGTATGGCCTAATTTGGTGTCCGTCTGTACTCGTGTATATTAAATATGCAAGTATAAGAATCTAACGAGTCACTTTAAACCTACACAAGCGATACTTTTCCAAATTATATCATAAACATCTACACAAACCTACGATTGTATTCCTGTGTCGTCATGCCTATATTCTGCTCTGTATGCAATCAGCACGCAGATTATACCGAGAAGAACACAGTACACGTTGATTCGTTCCTGTACGATGACGACGAGGTGGACCGATTATGTGACGATGGGCAGATGAGCAGAGCCATCTGCAACGCCTGTGGCTCCCAGGATACCACTATGCTGAGTAAGTGTAGTCACATGCCCCTGGTATTTTGGATGTACACTGTCTGACACGCGACAGCACAAGCTACACAACAATATGGGAATGAGATGTGATAACACAGCACAAACTACACAACAATATGGGAATGACATGTGATAACACAGCACAAACTACACAACAATATGGGAATGACATGTGATAACACGGCACAAACTACACAACAATATGGGAATGGGATGTGATCACCTTACCAGTATATCTATCACCCACGCGTACTGCACGGTCGACGTCGTTAGGCCTCCGCCCATGTCATTACTTTGGATTAGGCACCTAATAACGATCGTTCGCGTGCGCATGTATCGCCCGTCTTTTTGTCAAGAAGCGAACTCCGCTCAAGAGTACCCGCACATGTGCACCAGGGGTATGCATATTAGTTTAGATCTCCCGCATTCTATGTCTCTTCATAATTCGTTCATGTATGGATATCAACCCGAGTTTCATTCTTCCCGGCTTATCTTAACGACAGATTTCATCTCGCACTCGGCATCGCTATCCCAACTGCAATTTTTGTACAATCATGCACTGGGCGATCTGACCGGCAAATCGGTTCTGGATGTTGGCTCGAGGACGGGTGCCGTTTTGTACGCGGTAGGTGAAATGCTTTTACGATGTTTTTGCGCGTGTCTATTTGTATACGCATTTTAAATTTCATTCCATGTATTAGTAGACAATACCTGTCTGTCTTATCGTTCACTGGATTGTGTAAATGGTAAATTGGTTGCGAGCAATTGACTCGAGAATTTTTAGGACGTTATTAATTTTTTGATGGAATACTTCAAACTCTGTCATCGACAACAGACTCGTGGGTGCATTCTTTACCACATACTTTGACGACATATCGAGTCGGCAGTGTGAAATCATAATTATTTCAATGCAGGAAATTTCTACCTAGTAAGGCACTGTACAAGTATGCTGATATAGAAGCGTCTACGAAAAAGCGTAGACATGCAGCAAATACTGAAAATTTTATTTCACTGCTTATATTTCCCGTGCAGGGCTACCTATTCAGTAGTGCAAAGGAACTCATTGGTGTCGAGATGAACTCATATTTTGCCGATATCTCTAGCAAAATAGTTACGCAACACAACATGCAAGACCGGATAAGTATAACAGAGGGTGATATCATGAAGCACCCAAAGATACTTGCCGGCGCGGATGTCGTTGTTTTAAACAATGTATTTCAATTCTTTCACTCCCCAGCGGCCCACGCAAAGTTTTGGGTATGTAGGTACATTGCGTGCGATGTAGTTTTCAATTTGTGTACGTACGGGAAGTACACTTTCAACATTGGGTGCTCGATTTATGTGTCGTCGCGCATCAGTCCCAATTTATGAGTTGATATTATCACTTTGTTTGTGTATTGGAATACGTAGTTTATTATCCCGACTCGAGCTGTTGTCAAGGTGTAAAGTTATATATATATACATATATATATATATATGTAGGTGTGGTGTGTGTGTGTGCGTGTGTGTGTGTATGTATGTGGATATGTATATGTGTGTATATATATATATATATATATATGTGTGTATGTGCACACGTGTCTGAGTACTCGACCGAAGG